CTGGGGGCTGAAATGCAAACCTTATCCTTTTTTTTGTGCCCCTCACTTGCCTTCCTTTGCCACAAAAAACCTTCAACTACGTTCAGGGAAGGATAAAAAAAAAGATAATCAGGCAAATTATAAGAGGGAGATTTTCCAAAGAACAAAGCACCTACTTCTCCCTTCCAAGCAGCTGAAGAAGAGGCTTTGCAGCTGAGCTTAAAGCCAACTGGGTGATACACATTTTCCCAAAAACTGGCACAAGTTACCGTAAAAAACACTCCATTGTTCAGCCAGGCAAAGAAGAACCAAACAAAACAAAGCAGCAGAACAGCTTAAAGCATTGCAACACTTCAGGACATGCAGGTTCCATTTCTTCCAAGTTCTGTTTCGCTCCAGCTCCTTTCTGGAGCTCAGGCCCAACCTCAGCTCACATCTGGCCCAGCCAGTGAATTGGTGGCATGGGAAGATGTCTGCACTGAGCTAAATGAACCAATTCCCAGCATCACTGGGAGGAAACTCAGCTTCCCACCCCAGAGGCAGCTCCACTCAGTCTTCTCTGCCTCTCTCACTGGAACTGTCCTCGTTCCTGCTCATTAACCCGAGTGGATATTGCTGCTTTAAGTGATAATACTAATTAGGAAGTGGTAGAAGGCAGGATCGATTTTCCTCACACCTACACAGCACACACACTGTGGAACTGCAGCTGGAATTTGGGAGCTTTCCATATAAACGGGCTCCTCCTCAAGTCCCTCCCTGCACCAGGATCATATTTTCCCACAACCACCACCATTTATTTCCTTCTCCCTCTTTAATTTTGAGGAGAACCTCAAGGGTTGGATTACACACCAGCTTCTTCCTACCTGAATTTCCTCTTCTGGTGGATGTTGGTAGCACCTCTTCTTCCTCTTGCAACTGGGACCTCCTGCCAGTCTAACAGATTCAAAGGCTTCTTGCTCATTCATCCATCAAAAATGCAGCTTTTTCTCCTCACCTGCCTCCAAAACCACCCAGCACTGCCCAAAGGAGTTTGCCTTTTCATCCTGAGAGCAGCAGGAGGAATTTTATAAGCATGATATTATTTTAATAAAGAGAAAGAACCCCAACTCCTCCCCCTGTGCCTGAGCTGCCGGGGGGAGCATAAAATGGAAGGTGGATGTTTGGAACAAAATGAGCCTCACCCGGGGCCCCTAAGGAGCAGCAGCTTTTCGTGGTGGAGGGTCAGCCCTGCACGAGGCTGAGCAGCCTCCAGGCTTGTTCTGTTCAACACACTCCTACGGGGTCTGGGAGAGTAATTCCAAAATCAAAGGAGAGATCACCAGAAAGCCACAGGCAGCTTTAGAAACATCGATCATTATTTGTTTCTAGAGTTCAGGCTGCAGCTGTGCCACACAATTATTTTACCACAAATCATTACAAATAAAAAAAAAAAAAAAAACAAACCTGTTATGGAAAAAAAAATTAGATCTAAGCATTGACTCGCAAAGACTGACAGGAAGTCCACAAAAAGAAAAGAGAAGCACGAACAGGAAGAGTCATAATTATTGGAGATGAAACTTTTAACATCGCCACTTGATTAAAACAGCAGGGATTGCAAATCCAGTCTCCATAATGGGATTTTCTCATCTGTATTTTGTTCAGGTTTCAGTTCCACAGGTGCTGGGCTGGGGGCTGTTTATTGGCTCCAGCTGAGCTGACGCTCAACACCCACCACCGAGGAGGCACAGCCAGGCTGGCGAGTCCTGAGGCTGCTGCAGAGAACATTTCTCATACAGCATTTTTATTAAGTTTTAACTCCTTTGGCTCCTCAGCCCACTGTTCACTCCTGCTCTCTGTGTCACTGCTGCCTGCTCAGACCTCAGGAACGCTCTGGGGCTGGAACAATCCCTGCAAGGGGTTTGCACAGCAGCAAAAACAGAGCCCTTTGCTGCTCCAACACTAAGAAACATTAATTAGGAACTAATTAGGCAGTGACATTCTCACTGTGTGAGGGATTCTCTGCATGGTAATGGAAGATGAAAATCTTATTAGGCAACTGGGAAGGAAGCAACAATAAAACCATGTTTCCCTTATCAAGCATCTTCCAGCACTGTAAAATCTCCCACTAAACACTCTGAGCTTGGTCACTGCCCCACCTTGTGGGCTCAAGCAGGACAGATGTTATTCCTCCTGTGAACTGAGAGTACAAAATGCTTGATGTTCTTTAAATATCTCCTCCTGCCGCGCTTTAAATCAAACCCCACCTGGTAAATTCTTACCATGTTAAGCAGCACCAGGATCAGTTCGTAACATTTGGGCTAAAACTGATTTCCAGCATAAAATTAAGGCACTAAACTACATAAACTGACAAAATAAGGTGAATGTTTGTCCTACCAGGCCGTTAAATGATTGTTAACCTTGTCCTTCCTTACAGGAACAGGTGGAATGTGCTTGAGGAGCACAGGGTCAGTTGGGTGCCATGAACCCCTTGGCTGTTCTGAGCCCTCACTCTGCTCGGAGCTGCTGCCCGAGGTATCTGAGAAATCATCACAAAGCATTTGCCAGGGTGGCACCTGGAAGAAAACAAACCTGTAACACTTTTCCTGCCTGACATTAATACCATCTTAATCGTTCCTTGCTAGAAAACAGCAGCTCCTTTGGGCCTCAGTTCTTCCACTGATGTGAAATGAGGGAGAGAAGAGCTGAAAATTAACAGCTCTTCCACCTGCCTTCAGGACAAAAGGAGTGAGGTTTCAAAATTAAGGACTTATTTCATTCTAAAAAGCTCAGATACACAGGATATCCCTTCCTCCCTTTGAATTTAGCAGAGCCAGAACTGCTTCAGCTGAAATGGCAGCCACCAAGAAAAGACTTTTACATTTCCACTGACAGCTGGGGTATATTAACAATAGTAATTTACAGGTTTGCATGAATGATTTTAATGCTGATGTAGATACAATGGCTTTATATTACTAACCAAGAAAATGATAACCAGCATTTATGCTAAATATGAGGCTTGCAGCCACATCCCCTGGCGGTATCAAGGCCAAACCACTGCTGCCTTTTCCTCCTCCATCACTGCAGCCCCTTTCCATCAGGTCCAGTCACAGCATGAGTTTTGGGGATTACAAATAATCAGTAAAAGCTGTAACTCGGCCATTCTCCACTTCACTGCATATTTTATTGCTGCTTTAATCCTTTCATCTCTTTTAGATTTATTTGTGGTTGTTGGCTGTTGTTAAAAGCCAAGGGACTCCTGCCAACTTTTTTAAAACTTAGAAAATCCAAAATAATTGTTTTAAAACCAGGATTTTTTGTCTGTTGCTCATTCCACAGCACTAAATTTTATGTGCTTCAAATGTAATCAAAACAGAATGGTTTTATTTCCCCTCCCCTGAAGCACTGTAAGAGAAACAGTAAAATTATCTATGCTCCCATGTAACATCTTATAGTATTTTGAGGGCATCTATTCTGTTTGAAAGGCACCATATTCTAATGGAAATAACACTTTTCCATTCATTTATCTTAGAAAAAAATCCCGCCTGTTGGAGGATCCCTGCAGAGGAACTTTGCTTTTGATTAAAACAATAAACAAGGAACACTGAAATGAAACTCATGAACAGTCAACTCTAACAGATACCAACTTGTAACCTCAAAAAAACCCTGACAAATTATTTCCTGTTTACTTAAGTTTTCCCAGATCAACTCTGCTCTTTCTTTAATGAGACAATTCTGACACACACTGGAAAGCAAGAACAATTATAAAACCAAGCTGCAGCAAACATTTCTTGAGCAAATTCAGCACCACACTGAGCAGTCAAGCAACAATTTAGTTGTTTGCTTCCTGAGGGCACGTGGCTACTCTCACCATCTCCATGATCATTCGTGGCCTACAGATACTTCATTTAAAAAAAGATGCATCCCTTGTGCTTTCTGAAAGCTTTTAAACCCTTTTTTTATTTCCAGTGCGTGTTATGTGAGATAAGAAATGTCACAGCATGTTCTAATTCACAAGCTCTTAAAGATCAGGCAAAAAGTTTTGTTTCACTGACACTGGGAACAGAATGCAACTCTGAAGTTTTAATTAGACATTGGAGTAACCTGTTCTTCAGACTGCTCAGATACGTTCAGATAAAAAGAAATTAATTAATCCCATACACGTTTTACATACTCCATTACTCAGATTGAATGTTTTTATTAAACCCTGTATGTATTACAAATGTAACTCTGGGGAAAAAAACCAGAATTTACGTGCACATTAGTGCATCAAGCACCCTATTGCTTGCTGAAATTCCTCTGAAAACCTTTTTTTTCAGAGCATTTGACTCTTGACCTTTCAGTAAGAACAATCTCTGTGAAATCCTACATTCCACAGAATTCCCAGCCCAGATAGCACAGCCCACCTGTGCTACTGGAGGGACAGGGACACTGCGCTGTGATGCCACAAGGGCAGCCCCAAGTCACAGCAGCTTCTTCCACTGAGGGAATCATCAGAACAGATCCAGGTCCTCACCTGAGCTACAGCTGGGAAGTGCAGTCACAGCTCAGGCAGTCCCTGGAGTCTCACCTGTGACATTTCTGTTCTGCTGTCACTCCTTCCCTTGGCCCACCCTAAGCTCATACCTCTGCTTTTACAGGCCACAAATCCCTGGGTGAAACTATCCCTGCTTTCATTTTTTAGGTTAATTATGACGCTTAATTTAAGGTTTGAGGCCAAAACAAAGAATAAATAACAAGCCTGGAAACAAGGTACAGAAATAGCTGCGTTTGCTCTTCTTCTTAACTATTTAAGGGCTACTCTCTCCAGTAACTACAGCAGCACTATTAGTATAATTTGTTTCAACTGTTTAAAAGAAGTTTTAATTACCAAATACAAAATGCTTACACAGCTAAATCCCACTGACACTATCAGCAGTAAATACACTGCAGCCTGTGCATATCACATTATAGCAAATTACAGGAGTGCCCAGTGTGTTTATTAAAAATGTGCTGTGAAAAAGTCATTCCTTAATGCAGTGAAGTGACAAAAACAGACCCAGCGGTTTTTTTTCGCAAGAGATCACTTTAATGTTTGTGTCATCAGCACAGTGTAACCATTGTGATTTCTCAGCACCTTCAGACAGAAAACCACGCTGTGTCTGCAAACACCATTCCCCAAAGCTCCTGGGGTTTGCTGGACTCCTTCCTCCCCAGAGCAGCTGTCTGCAGCATCACCACCTGTAACACAGCAGCAGGGTTAAGGGAACCACTCAGCACCATTCTTAACTCACTTGCTCATGCAGGAGATATCATCAGAAAACCTTTGCTCACCACCAGTCAATCTGCCGGTAATTCCAGCAATTTTTGGTTAGTTTCATCACATGATATCTTTGGGTAAATTGAGACGTTTCTGGCAGAAGACAGCTGCTCTTAACACCTCTACTGCTTGTATTTTAGTCTAAGAAAGTGGGTTTTTTGGCCTAGAACTTCATTAATTATACATTTAGAGCTAAGAATACGCAGAAACACATTCCTGAGACTGCAGCCAAAAAACAGCACATTAAACTAAGAGCACACTAAATATTAAACTCACCCAGGAGACTCTCCTGCTCTGCTGTCTCACTGCCTTCCACAAGGCCTGTGACAGAGCTGTAACAGCAATGGATGGACATCAGTAACCATCAGCACGTGGCAGCACAGACCTGCAAGTTACATCTAAATACAGTTATCAAGAAGTACGAGGCTTTAAACTGTAAGGAACAGAAGAGGAAAAGCAGATTGAGTAACACAACACACCTCTTAAGTTCCTTACAGCCTATGAACCTCATTCATCCTCAAGTTACATTTCACCTGGCATAAAGCTCTCTGTGTTCCAGTGAAATTCATCTCTTACCTTCAGATTCGGGCCATCCCAGAAGAGCAACCTGCTGTGTCACATCCACCTGGGAAGAGCAGGCTCTGCAGGTCAAGTGGAACAGACACAAAGCTCAGTTAAGTATTTCAAGAGCGCTTTCCACTCACAGCAAACATAAATAAAAGCTGCCTGATTAATTTTAGAAGACATTTCTGTAACTCAGAACTGCACGTGTGTAGCTGTTATTTCAGACAGTAAGAAGGGTATCGTCAGTTCTCGCATCTGACGGCACTTCCTATTCAGGGTTATCATCATCAACAGCCAGCAGCTTCTGCATTCCACTCATTATAAAACAGGAACTGTTTTATCTTAAATGCTTGTATCTTTAACAGGCATTGACTCTTTAACTCGTGGGTACGAAATCAGTTTTAACACGGAATCAGTTTTAATGAGGTTTTATTTAATTCGCTTTAAGATGTAATTGTTACAGGTTATTTTTGACTAGCAGTCCCACATTGCATCATCAGCATTAAATAAATGTCTGGAACTTAACAGCTTGTGCACTTTAATAGAAAAAAAGAATTAACTTACTCTTTACTTCAAGACATCTTTCTGCTGTGGGGATAAAAGAGAAGTATTATTAGAATACTCTTCAGCAGTAATTATAAAGTTGGTTTATACAAGAAAAACATGAATAAAAAAGTAAAACACACCACCAAACCCACATCCTCATGAACAACACTGCTTGCAATTCCAGCCGTGTTTCTGGTGGTATTAATCACCGAAATATTTACATCAGAATGGTTTTAGTAGTCGACAATCCTCTCTAAATTATTTTTAGTCAGGAAATTTAGAGCAGTATACAAATGCAGCTTGCCAGACTGCACTTACCACCAGGGCAATTTTCAAAAATTGAAATTGCAGACACTCCAATTCTGAGTTTGTGGTGTCTGCTGTGCAGAAAGGGCCTGGCACATCGAAAAACAACAACAGCGACGAAAAACAAAGAGATCTAATGGCCGAAACAGCGCCATAAAAACCCACGGACGGCACTGATTGCGGCGCACCCACCACAGCGGTGCTACCCGCAGGGCCCTCACGGAGCTCCGGGCAGCGATTCCCGCCCCAGCCGCGCTGCCCGGCGGTACCGCACACACACAGCGCCCTCCCGGGGCCCCGACCCGGCCACAGCCCCTCTTGACTTACCGAGAAGGCGCCTCCGCAGCCCCGGCGTGTCCCGGCCCCGGTCCTGGTGCCGCCTCCATGGCCGCCTGAGGGGACAGGGTCGTCAGGCCCCACGCTCCCCCCTCCCCCACAATGGTCCGGCCCAGCCCACGCGGCCCAGCGAGGCACGGCGGCCACCACCACTGCAGAGAGCAGGGGGGTGAGCGCTCCCTTCAGCCCGCTCAATGCTAAGGGCGCCTCGACCCACACGCCGGGCCTCCCCGCTGCCCGCCCAGCCGGCCCCGGCCGCGGTCCTAACCTGGGCCCCGATGCCGCGCTGCAGGTCACGCGCAAGTCCTTCCCTCCGCCGAACGCAGAGATCGAAAGGGCGCGAACGCTCCACATGGCTGGTTATAAAGGCTTGGGTCGTACCACCCCGCCGCGGGGGGGGGCGGGCCGGGCCACTGCTCCAGCCAGGCGGGGGTGCGCCCGGGCTTCCATTTCCTTCGGCGGGGCCAGCAGGGAACGTGGCGGGCGGAGCTTTGGGGTCCCCTCACCCTCCCCGGCCCCAAAACCCGGCCTGAGGCACCGCCTGAGAGCGGGAGAGCTGGGACGGGCTACACCTCGGGCCTGAGGCACCGCCTGAGAGCGGGAGAGCTGGGACGGGCGACACCTCGGGTCAGGGAGCCGGCCAGGAACAGCCCCACGTGGGGAGGAGAAGGCAACACCAGCCCTCGGTGATCCGGCAGGACTGGAGAGGTCACAGCGATTCCAGACAACTTTTAATTTAGAACAGAACGGCTGTTAAAAGAAAAGTTCCATTCTCTTCACGTTATGTCATCTTGAGCTGAAAATAAGGGGGGGTTGCTTTCCTTTTCGCTGTCAGGCACATCCCAATACCTTAGAAACAAACACAAACCCACCACCGTCCTAAAGTCTATCAACGCCTCGTGTTCATTCTGCCTGAAGAACTATTTATCAAAAATACACCTCTTCAAAACAAAATCTTCCTATGACAAGGACTACTGTGCTCCTATAATTAAAATTCAAACTACTTTTTCCTCTGAGACACAGATCCCTCCAGCAAGAGCTAAAGCCAATGTTCTATTTGCATTTTTCAACATTAAGTTCCTTTTAGTAAAATACACAGGTATCTCAGTGCCAGAACTTTGATTTCTGCATCAAATTCTTATAGGTGATTAATATTTGAGAATTCAGCGAAAAATCAAGAACATGTAAGGTAAGGGCAAAATAGCTGAGCACAAAGAGGGCTTAAGAACACAATTCTCTTTGCAATCTCTCCCCAGACCAAACAGATTTAACTTAAAATGTTGAGGGAAAAGCATCCGCTGGAGATTCAGTGCTCATTTTTAAATTATCAAATCCCAGCAGTTCTTGTTCAGGTAACTAAGGAAAAACAAAGCTGGAAAGAATTCCTGGTATCAGCAAACACTTTTTCAGGCTTCTTTGTACATCACCAAAATGCAGAACCAGGCAAACATTCGATTACAAAACCCTCTCTGTGGGTTCCTTCAACAGTAAACCTCTATTTTTCTAGTGGCTAAGCTACTGTGGTCTCAATAGCAACACATAAGCCCCCCCAAACCATAAATACAACAGACCTGAATAATAAACAGGCACTTCTAAGGCGTATTTAGGACAACCTGGAAGGCAGAACTGGTATTCAAGGTGTCTCTTCTTCAAAAAAAAGGCCTGTGCCTACATGGCTGGTCTTTGATTTCACACATCCATCAGCCCAGATCTTTTCTATTGGATTCTCTATTCCCATTCCCACTTAAATTTACCCTTCACCAGGCCCAAGTTATGAATATGTACATGGGGGGTGATTCCCATCTACCCCCTCCTTTCAGGAAAAGGAAAGGTCAGCATGGATTCAAAGCAGTCATAAAACACAAAGGTTTACTGGCAAAAAGACACTGGTTAAATAAACTTTATCAGGATCTTGAGAGATGGGGATGGTTATAGGTACGGTTCTCTTGGAAAGCTTTGGGAGGGGTGTTAATGAAAGCACATGTTTAAAATGAGTTATTACAGTGATCAGACATTGCAGTCGTTTACTCTCAACAGTACTTTTATGAGACATTTATATAGTCAATAATTAAATATAAAATCAAGGGTGAGTGTCACAGAACAAGGAAATTGTAAGGCTTGAAGCCTGGTCAGCCCCCAGATTGCCCTTCTAGTCACTGCACCTTTCATTTTGCCTCTCATTTTACACACTGCTGTTCTCACACGTAACAAAGCAGTGAGAAAAGTTAATTGCAGATTTCTTGCTGAAACCTCAAACCTACTTCAACTTAGTACAAAAATAGGGTGGAGAAAAAGAGAAAACATTTGCTTGTTAAAAAGCAGGAACTGCAAGAGAGATTCATAGACATTTCTGGACTGACAGAACCGAGGAAACAGGGACAATGCAAACAAATTTTCAGACTATCCAAACGTAGCAGACAATGTTTTTGCTACCTGTTGTTTACCTGAATGGGATGTGCTGCATTATTCCTCACTTAGAATTACTGGCAACCAAAACAAATGCCCACAGGTAACAGGAAAAAAAAAAAACAAACAGGCAGTTGCACACGGACCAAACCCTTTTCCTACCTAGGAAGGGAAAATGTGCAGGTAAAAAAGCTGAATGTAACAAGTCCACCATGTCCACATCCACATGTACTATACAGGGAGAACATTCAAAAGCATTGACATGAGACAGTGATCCTACAGTTTGCCTTTTCTCTTTCAGTTATATATATATATAGATAAACAGCACATAGGAGCACACCACTAGAGCTTTCACCGTGGCCAACAGGAAAATTCCCACAGATATAAAAATGTATGCTTTCCAACTGTTAAAAGAGTGCTGCAGAACATAATCCAGGTGAAATGGAAGAAATGGAACTTCTCATCATGTAACAACAACAACCACAAAGAAAAACCAACCCCCTGGGGATTTACACAGTTCTCAAACATCCAACTTTGCAGTCCTGAACATCTCAATCCCTGCTACAGCAGGACGTGGTATCACAAAATAAATGAGAATTCCTTGAGAGTGGTGACACCACTGGGATACATGAAATTTAACTGTACTAAAATATTATTTAACTTGGATTTACATTCAGTGTTTTGGAGGAAGGGAACGTGGTAATCCCTTCATGCTTTATCCTTGCTGGCTGCCCACCCAGGAAGCATTTTTGTTATTACTTTTAAGAGGAAAGGAGAGGTGCTGGTAAAGAGCCAGAAGGGCAAGGCAATGATCTTGGATCAAGAGACGCCCTGTTCTTTGGATGAAGAGTGGAAAACATTTTGTTAAAAGCCTCCATGATGAAAATATTAAGAACAAAAAGGTCTCCTTAAAAATACAGAGCATTTCTGCCTCTTTTTTGAAGTTCAAAGCTCAGAGATGGGGGGGGAAGTGTTTTGCTAGAATGAACTAGAGGTTTGCTGTAATAAACATGGATGACGATGCCCTACATAACACAGGGCCAACCACAGACTCCAGACAAAGGTGATTGCTTTAGGTTTCAAGTGGTTTATGCATTTCTTTTTTTGTATAAAAGGAGCAGAGACACTTCTGGGACCTTCACTGCAGAGTCTTTGCCAGTGTCCAGCTCTGGGGCAAAGGAAATCTTGCCCCACTGCAGAGTCACAACCTTGAGGATGAGGATGAGAACCCCCTCATGATTCAGAGTCTGAGCCAGAGCTGCTCTCCCGGCTGATTTCGATTTGTAGGGATGGTAAATTATCCAACCGGCTCTTTTTTTGCCGAGACTGTTCCTTTTCCTTAATGAGAGCCCCCCAAACCCGCTGGAGCTCGGAATCCTCTTCCTCTGGAGACGCCACAGAGTTTTCAGCTTTATCTGAAGTCTTTTCTTGTGTCTTCGGAGCAGACCCCAATCGGGTCCATAAATTACCTGATCAGATGAAAAATAAACATTTAAAAAAAAAACCCAAAACCAATCCAGACAGGACTAAGGAATTCTGGATGAATCACAGAATCAAGTCTTAAATTCACTGCATGCCTTTGAATCCCTCATACTCCTTCCACCTTAATGTCTGCCATGGGACTGATTATGCTTTGAAGCAGGAGCTGAAATTAAACTACAGGAGGCTCAGGGCAGTCGTGTTCAGTGCTGCCCATTTGCAGGGAATTCTACACACAGCACTGAAGTGCCACTGCATTCCTTACACTTGTTTTACTGCCCTGGTTTTGACCACAGTTTTAAAGTGGTCCTTGACTTTTCAGCATACCTCTATAAAAACACTGCTCAGGAACATTCCCAGCTCCTCTCTACACACGTTCAGATTTCAAAGCTCTGAACAAACACTTGCCAATTTATATGTTGAATTTCACTCGGCTGAACCTCCTTCACGACCTCCTGCTGCAATTTCTCTCACACTCCAGAATCAAAGGAACTGCATTACTGCACTTTTCTCCACAGAACTAACCTGATTTCTTCTCTCTGGTGTCCGAGTAGAGGCCTTTCACGTCTTGTTTGGGGATTCCCAACCTGCTGTGGACATCTGAGATGGGTTCCCGCCGAGGAGCAGAGGTGCTGCTTGGAGGTTTCGTTTCTGGAGAATGGGGCCTTTTCCCCAGTCTTTGCCGCACGTCTAGGGATGATTTCAGGGATTAAAATGACAAAAAAAAAAAAAAAAATCATGTTGCATTTACTCCAGCTCTGCCAGCTGATTTTATGCTTGTTCACAATTTGTACAACTTGAAAGCAGACAAATGCTGTGTTTTTATCCTTCCACTTAAGTCTTTCATAATCAGATTTCAGTCCTGGCAATGTCTGCAGTACAATTTATCCTGATTTCATTTTGGTTTTGGCAATAAAATTTGACACTTAATGTTTTCAGGTTGTCCAAAAGATCAGAAAACTGAGTTATTCCATGGCTTGCTGCATTTCTGCTTTATCAGGAGAGCATGAGATAAGATTCCATGAAAATAAGTATGCATTCAGTGATTCTTCTCAGATAACAGATCCCCTGCTTTAAAATTCTAATACTGCTTGATATTTTGCAGAACAAAATGAAAACCAGGATATAAGAATCCTAAATGTATCGATACTTGGCCTTTGATCTGAATCTTGCATTCTGAAGTTTGTTTTAGCCAGATGTTCCTGGTCTCACAGGGAGTTCAAACAATTTAAAATATGAAGGCAAAGGAAATTACAAGATTTATGTGCCAACTTGTCAGAGGTCCAAAATAGGCAGAAGGGGTAAAATATACTAAGAAAAAACGTTGACATTGCATTGATACAAAAGCATATTTGTCCCTTATCAGACAATCACTGAATATTAAGTATGTCAGAAGGAGCTGAAATCATACACACTGGAGTCAAAAAAACCAACAGGCAATTAAGGTCAGAAATAAACCCTGCCAACTGAAAGAGCATCCATATCCATGTAATACATGATCTTTCA